TTTTGCTTATGAGGAAGACAAGATAGCGGTCATGGTCATAGAGGATAAGTGGTATGGAGTTCAAATGAACCTGTGGGCAGGATCTGCATCTAAGAGTGAAGGTGTTTAGAATTAGGCTAATTTTCTTTTTAGCATAAATTATTGCAAAATCTCTTAATTAGGAAGATGTAAATATTAGGCTTAAAGATGCTGTTACAGAATCTGAATGGTAGAATAGTCGTGTTGTCACCAAATGTTACCATTAATGTGGAGAGGAACAACAGCGGTAAAGAAAGAGAACACGAAAAGAACAGTTAGAGAGGCAGGATCGGAGGGATAGTTACAAGGATAGCAGTAGATGCCTGCATTCATTAACTTGGTCAAACGCTTATACTAGAGTCAGAAATGCACTAAAGCAACACTTGCTCACTAGGACTGCTGGGATAATAATAATAATAATAATAAATAATAATAATAATTTATTTATTCTGGGACGAGTCCCTTTAGAATAACACATAAGAATTTGGGCTAAGAAGCCTCAGAGATACATAAAAAGAAATGTTAAGTAATGAAATAGTCATATTAAAAAAATATAAGTTACTTTCTAACTTAAATAAGTTAATAATAAAAAATTAAAAATAATTAAGAACAATCTAATAATTTACATACATATTTACAGTGGTATCTATTTACAATTTTATGGGGACTGGATGGATAAGAAATGATTGAACAGGCTGGATTTAAAGGTAGGAAGGTTATTGGATTGACAGACATGGGAAAGGATGGATTCCATAAGGATGAGGATCGGATAATGAACGATCTGTCGAAAGTAACGGTTTAGTGGGCCCTTATGTATAAATCAGAAAACTTGGAACGAGTATTGCGGGAGCCAACAGAGGATTTGAATTGGAGGAGCTCAGAGATGTATGGAGGTCGGTGGGATTGGATGACTTGAAGGAGGAAGGATGCCAGGAAATACTTACGACGGTAGGAAGAGTAAAACCTCAACTCTACACAAAAACGGGAAACAGAGGCGCCCCTTGGGATCCCGAAGATGAATCGTACAAAGCAATTTATTAAGCTTTTTAGTTTCGCCTCGAGATCCCCAGAGACGCCCCCATATACCGTGCAGCAATAGTCAAAGTGAAGAAAAATTAAGGAAGTGACCAGGAGCCTACGGGTTTCAAGGAGAAATAAGTGACGGAAATAGTTTAGATGTTGGATACATGGATTTTACAGGAAAACGTTTGATCTAATGTTATTCCAAGGTTTTTGATAGAGGGATAAAATTTGATGGGATTATCATGTTGGAAAAGAGTTGGAATATGTGGAACAGTTTTAAGGAGGTGATTGGAAGCCAATTAAGATTGCCTTTTTCTTTTCCGCATTCCACTTCAACTTGTTGGCTCTCGCCCAGTCACAAATCTTATCCAAGTCTTCTTGAAGTTCTTCTGTGGCTGATAATAGGTCGGAGGGCGGGAAGCACAGGTATATTTGGAAATCATCAGCATAGATATGGTATTGGGAGTGACGGATCAGGAGAGGAAGGCCATTAATGTAAATAGCAAACAGAGAAGGAAATAGAGAGGAACCTTGAGGGACACCACAGGAGAGAGGGAGAGTCTTAGATGAGAGTTGACCTGGTACGATCACATATTGGGACCGATTTGAAAGGAAGGATTTGTACCAACGCAGGACACTAGTGGATAGAGGAAGATTGTGCAATTTCGTAAGGAGGATGTTATGGACAACTGTGTCGAACGCTTTGGAAAAATCTAGAAGGATGAGGATGGTAAGGTTTTGATGTTCAATTGAGTTTTGGAGGTCATGGGTTATGTTAAGGAGAGCGGATTGCGTTGAGTAGCCAGGTCAAAAGCCAGATTGGAATAGATTCATAAGTGAACGTTCTTTTAGGAAGTTAGAAAGTTGATTTTGGACAAGACGTTCTAACAGCTTTGAAAGGTTGGATAGGAGAGAAATAGGACGGGAATCGTGCAGTTAGGTAGGGTTTGGAATTTTATTCAAAGGTCGGACTAGGGCAGTTTTCCAGGATAGGAATATAGAGTTTTGCAATGAAAAGTTGTAGATATGGTAAAGAATAGGAATTAGGGCAGAGAGGCTGGATTTTATTAGTTTTACTGGGATATTATCAGGACCATAATCATTAGTGTGGGATTTTAGGAGAGTGGAAAGTTATTCATCGTAAGTCACATGGGAGAAAAAGAAGTCTTAAGGATTGAAATTGTGGTGTTTAATATCGAAAGTTGGAGAACAATTGTGAGTGAAGGATAGGAAATGGTCATTGAGATAATCTGGAGTCACCCGGATGGAACTGAGTTTATTGGATTCTGGTAGGGATAGGTTACGGAGTATTTTCCATTAAGATTTGGAATCAGGAGCCTTAGAAAAGGCATTATGGAAGTAGTTAACAAGTCGGATTGTGGATTGGGTTCCATTGTAAAGTTTCTTAGAACACGCATAATCAGCTGGCAAACGGGTTCGGCGGTATTTGCGCCCTGCTGCATCCCTTCTTTTCATCATTTCCTTTATTTCAAGAGTCAGCCAAGGTGCAGTGGGACGACGTAAGGTTTTAGTTTTCAGAGGAGCATGCGTATCTTATAAGGATGGAAAATTTGATGATGATGTTCGGCAAATTATTTGTCCTTGTCTTCATTTTATATAGTTTAGAATCCATTATCTTATCCGAAGAGATGGAAAACATGTTTGATATTTAGCATTTCTTAAGTTTATTTATTATAGAATTGTTGTGAGCGAAGGATCAGAGGAGAGGGAAGATTAAACGGTTGGATTTGAACGCTTATTACCGCTTAAATTGTATAAAGTAATAATTATAGGAGTGACGATAGGTGGAACACCTGGTACATTGGAATGGTAATCTGAAAAGGAATCTAATATGGATTTGTATGTGTGGTTACGGTAAAAAAAATTCCTATGCTTTCTTAGGTAATCATTTGAAGAATAGATAACTCTGGTGGTAAGGAGTACACGACATTATCTTGGTCTAAAGGAGGCGTGGTAGTAGTATAAATTTAAGAACGGAACGAATAATAAATGACCAATTAAAATTATTACAGTTTTTCGTTAAACGTCATATTTTGTTTATTGGAATTTTATAATAACTTTTTTCATTCACATGTATCTACATCCTCCGACGTCCAACATCATAAGGCATTCGATTCCCTTGGCATTATTCATGGCTATGTGTGACTTGTATGCTGTTATCTTAATATAATAATTATTGAGAAAAAAAGTAATGTAAAAGAAAATTTCAAATAGATAATATTTACTAATTATTTTTTTATTTATTTTTTTTAATAATAAACAGAAACAGAAATTATTTTTAATACGAATTTAATTTTTTATAATTTTCCGTTTAATTTTCACTAATTTATGTGACTGATTCATATGGGTAGTATCTCTAAAGTGTTTTCATGTCATTATTTTTCTGTTCATATTTACCAGATATATTTTTATTTTAAAATCCAATTTTAATGTTTTTTGTTTTTTTAATTTTAAAATTCAACATGTAGTAATTTTAAAATTTACTACATGCTTCACAAAACACTGTAATGTTTTTAAAAACGTTTTTGGTTTGTACTTCGAAATATGCGCAAACCCATGATTGACCAGAAAAGCTCAAAACCACACATTGTTATAAAATTGTTTTTGCAGGCTTTTGTAGGAAGGTTGTAAATTTTTAATATATCAGGATAAAAAAAATAATCCCCACAAACCATCAACCAATATTTTCTTAGAATTTAAATTGAATTTCATCACTGAAATTGTTGAAAAAATTGCAAAACATAAAAAACAAATAAATAAAACATATATTTTGTATTATATATATACTATAGTGAAGATAACATACTTATCATTGATACAAGTGATATGAGATGATGGCGACTGTCCACTCTGAAAACTGCAAACGTCTTCCCTGTAACGTTCGGATAAGCGATTCCTCTGGCTTTAATAATTGTCCTGATGTGCTGGCTCTGTAAATAAAAGATATAAACCCAGTAAAAAATATATGGGATTGCAGATGTACCAACTTAAGCACTGGATCAAAATGCAGCAGTATATAGTAAAAAGATGAAAATCAAATCTCGATAGACGATCATATTAAACGGAATAGCTACAATATTTATAATTCTCCATTATTTATTATTTATTATTATTAATTATTCTCTAAACCACTATACGTACGTATCGATAGAGAAAAAGTTCCGAAACGTGGCTATTAGGTTTGTCAGTGTCCATATATCTAAAAATTTTACAATTATGTGACAGTAATTTCGTAAATAATCACAAATATTGCTTGAAGAAGATATTTAACAGGAATGCTGAAAGAAATAAGGCTGCTCATAAAATTAAAATTCACATGCAACAACAATTGAATTCCCTATATATATAACCAGAATTTATAGAATAGCTGTGCTTTATTCAACTCGCCAACATTTAGACTCAAACACGTGGTTCATCATATTGCAATGATTTCTATCTACTCTAGCATCGGGAACCATCCTATCTTCTTGATGCTATGGTTAGACAAGGTACACTTAACAAAAATAACCGTCTCTAAATTATAAATATTCAATAAATTAAAAAAAGTATAGTCGTTATTAGTATGAATATTTCTAATTCATTCATTCACATTTATTAGCATATGAATTCATGTAATCTATACCATAAAAAGATCCTTGAATTTATTTTATTTTTCATGGTGGTATCAGCACAACTTTCCTGAGTTTGCTAAGATTATTTATTATCACTTTTTTCTGAGTCGCCTGACCTAACAGCTTTTAGATCAGCTCATAACTATTTTATTATATTAAGATGATTTTTATTTTGTAGTTAATAAAGCAAAAATTTTTTTAGATGAAATGCAAAGAATATTTTTAAGAACTTACTACATAGTAAAGCTGTGATGAGTGTTTCATAACACTCTCTTAGATTTTTTAAAAATAGGACAATGCATTATGTTTGTTACCTTTGACTTTTAGGTGGACTATGGATGACTCACGGGAGGTAGAGGCATTAAAGGAACCGGCTGAAGAAGAATATGAGGGAGAGAGCGAGGAACAAATCGAGGAACAAGAGAGACTTTCCGATGGTTTCTACTCTTATTGTTCCACGGACTCGACTTTCGACCAACCTGAATACAAGCACTTACTTCATGAACCCCCTGAAAATATGTTTGAAATACAGGCACCGGAAAGAGTAATTTTATCAGACGATGAAGAAGAGATGCAAAAAAGCGAATCAGGGACCATTCATATACTTTCTGAACAAACTGAAATTTCTGATGAGTCAGCGTGGTATAAGGATGTGCAAAAACCTCCTGAGAAAGAAGTGTCATTTGTGGAAAAACTTACCGATGTCAGCTCGGAACATTTTAAGGATAATAAAGTTGAGGAGGAGGAATATTCATCAGAACAAATATCTGCTGAGTTAGAAGAAATGGAAGAAGAAGATGAAGAAGAAGAAGAAGAAGAAGAAGAGGAACAATTGGAATCTGAAATGGTATTTTTTTTTATGTAATAGTTTCTTGTAGTTTATATACACATATACATATACATTGAGAAAATCCTGCTGTTCGTGTCGTAACGTTTACAGATGTACCTTTCACTGCTAACGTAATGTCAAGATTGATAAAAGGAAACACTGTATAGATGGGCGTCATTATTCATAAGTGATAAGGTTTATTAAGGTTGTCTTGTCATATTCATATTTTCTATCTTGGCTTTTCCTTTTCCGTAGTATTTTTCTTTCATACGCCTTTGGTTCTTTAGTTTCTGATTCAATCAAGACATGTTTTATAACTACTTTTCACAAATCCATTGCTGGTGCAAATATTCGTCTCATAGTTATTTGTTTTTCAAGAATCATCCACCATTCTCTTCTGATATCAGAAGAGAAAATCATAAATTTTTACTAAATTTAAACGTCTTCTTTTTAACTCTCAAACAAAATTAAAATGGCTTTAATATCCTCTCTAAAATAATGTATAATAGTCCGTGGTAAAGACTCCTTTTTATCGAATTATTACAACCCGTCTAAAACTTCGTAAATAGTTTCATCTCAGCGTATCCTACAACTATTTTATTTACGAAAACTCTTGGAATTGGGGCGTTTTCAATCTGGATGGTGGCAAACTTTGTCTATTTAATTAGGTACTAAAAACTCGTAGATACCCATTTCCTTTCAACTTGGATCGCAACATAATTTTATCACAAAATTGATAAAAAAAAAAAGGTGGCCTACAAAATTATTGGGCCAATTGTCCTATATAACCTCGTTATTTTGAAAAATTGGGGATGTACGTCATGCCAAACGGCTCAATGTTTTTGAAAGCCACTTTTTTTATCAATTTCGTTATCAAAGTATTTTACGATCCAAGTAGAAAGCAAATGGGTATTTACGAGTTTTTAGTACCTAATTAAATAGACGAAGCTTACCCCCCTCCTGATTAAAAACGCCCCAACTCCAAGAGTTTTCGTAAATAAAATAGTTGCAGGTTATGAGATAAAGCTATTCAGGCGGATGTTAATGATTTGATAAAAAGGGGTCTGTACCACGGACTATAAGAGAATTCAAATATTCCCATTAAAACTTTTTCCAGATAGATAAAATCCTTTATTTTACATAAGAGTGTTAAAAATATATAAATAATATTTTCTAATTTTCATTATTACCGTAATATTATTGAAAGGCTCCAGATAAAGGGATATAATTAAATGTTTCATATACTTAAGAACAATTTCAATATTTAAAAGTGGAACTTAGAATTTAGATCCCTTGATCTGTGAAAATATCATCTGCTTAAACAGATTCTGTTCTACCAACAGTTTCTTTCACAAAAAGACCATTTATATAACTACTTACTAATGCTACTCATCACATATTTTTCGTAAATCTTATACATTAGGATGCACAGGAAAACCAGATAATTATACCCAAATAGCCCGTCAAAGAAGATTAAACCAATGAGATAAATTTATACAGGTGATAAAACAGATTCAAAACTTATAAGATTTGACAAAAAATATTTTTGTTTACATTATTTCAAATTAAGATAATTTTATATACTGAAATCATGATAGTGTTTATAATATAATTATAGTACAATTGTATTATATGATATAATTATACATTTACGCCATTATGAATATATTATCTGGTAATAAACAATGTAAAAGAAAAAAAGTCTGGCAAGTAAGGTCAGTATAGCTTCCTCATCGTTTTCATTAGCTAAAAAATATCTATATTAAAAGATCTACAACATTTTTTATGAGAATAAAATCTCACGACGAAGCAGGTTTTGGAAAGTCAGGAATCACTCAACATATACGGGCTTGATTTCAGCGAATATTGTTTGTCAGCAAATACTAAAATTGTGAATAAAGTTTTACATTTGTAGATTGCAAATATAAGTAAACTTTCTGGAAGGTTAGTCCTTGGGGACTTCAATGCTCGATACACTTCCTGGCTGTGGGGTAGCGACAATCCACTGGGGAAGTACATCACTAAAACTAGGTTGGCCGTCTTTCACCCAGGTGTAAACACTTTCCGGCATTCAGCCCGACCTGATTGGACATCAACGCTGGACCTGCTATTAACCAGGGATCTGCACACCATTACGGATTGCCAAGCGCTTCCGTATGGACCGTCGGATCACCGGCCTTTACACGATCGAGGGCACACCCGCCAAACCACCGGTGAGTAAATACTTACTCCACAAGGCCGACTGGAAAGGATACAGGTCTAGCGTTGAATCCACTTTACCGGCGGTAACGCAATAGAAGAGGTAAACGAGGCAGTGGATGTCATCACCACCACTGTCCAGGACTCAGTCAACCAGAACATCCCTAGGTTCGCTCCGCAACCCAACGCCATCAGGAGACCACCACGTCACATCCTCGCCCTGATCAGTCAGAGGAACAACCTGAGGAACATCTTTCAGCGCACGCGTGAGTACAGCTTGAAACCGGCCATCAATGCGATGAACCGGCAGATAGCCTCATGCGAAACTGGAAGACTTCACTCTGGCATGACCAGCTCCGGAGGACTCATGATGACCACCGCCAGTTCTGGAGACTGGTCCGAACGTTCGTTAACAAGACGAGGACTGTCCATCTGACGTCGGGGAATGAGCTGTTGACACCTAAGGAACAGGCTGAACTCCTGGCCAAAAGCTATGAAGCGAAGGATGCTGAGCGGACGAGAAATGCACCACCAATACCGGAAGGACCACTGCCCAGTCCCAACGATGAACCCGTCTTCTCTACCTTCAACCAGCTGGAGTCGACACTACGGCGCACCAAAGGAAACAAAGCGTCTGGACTGGATGAGATTCCGTACGTACTGCTGAAGATGCTCCCTAGAAAGAGTAAAGCCTTTCTACTGAACATATCCAACTCATGTCTTCGAATCTCATACTTTCCTACCGCATGGAAACAAACGATCGTTGTACCGTTACTCAAGCCGGCGAAGAACGGGGACTAAGCTGAGCACTATCGTCCGATCAGCCTCCTCTCGCACATCATCAAGATTTTCGAGAGGCTAATCCACCATCAGCTTATGAAGCACTGCTGGAAAGAGAGCATCATACCACCAGAGCAGACTGGTTTCCAGAGAGGGGTCGCGTGTGAACACCACCTAGCTAAATTTCAGGTCCACACAATATATGAAATGAGTCTCAACAGAGCTACGGCGCTCTCTTTGGACTGCAGCCAGGCCTTTGACTGCATGTCACACATGCATCTACTTCGCTGTCTGGAAGAGTTCAGGTTTCCTACCACTCTATGCCGACTGATCCGAAGCTACCTCAGCGGAAGATCTCTCGTCGTACGAATTGGTACAGACTACTCAAACCCAGTCGATACCAACTGCGGAGTACCTCAATGGTCTGTGTTGGGGCCAATACTGTTCGTCGTTTTCACGGCGCCAGTGGTGGCACTCAAGCAACCAAAGGCGGTGGTAGCAGCCTATGCGGACGACATTGGCATATATGCTTTCAGCATCAACGCGGAGACTGCACTCACTCTGGCACAGAATGCTTCAGCCACAATTGTTGAAGAACTAGAAGAGATCGGTATCAGAGTCAATCTACTGATGCTATTGTCATGTCGTTTCAGAAGGGAAAGAAGCATCTACCCACACAATTCATCGTTGGAGGAGCTTATCATAAAATATCTACCTCGATTGTCTACCTCGTAGTCACGCTGGATAGACATTTGACCTTCTCCAATCACGTTATGCAGAGGATCAAGCTGGCACGAAAGAAGTCAGACCCATCTACCACCTACTGACGTCCCCGCAGCTCTCGCTGAGACTCAAGCTCCAAATTTATAAAGCTATTATAAGACCTACACTGCTCCACGGGGCCCCTCTCCTGCGATACCTATATAAATCCACGCTTATGAGTCTACAGGGCTTCCAGAACTCTATCCTTCGGCGAATTGTCCGTGGCACCACCCTACAAAGGGCTAAGAATCAAACAATAAGCGAGGAGCTCCAGCTCCCTTCGGTACCTGAGTTCATAGGCCGGAGGCACATCAAAATTTTTGATGGGCTAAAGGCCTGTGCAAACCCATTGTTCAATGAGATCTCACCACCTCCCAGACCTGGGAGGTGGCAAGGTAAACTCCCTTTGGTGGACATAGTCGCCGAAGGATGTGGTCTGGTCTCTGCGGTCCAAACCCATTAATGTGTATATACTGTAAATAATAAAAAATTAGCAGAACGGTCCTTCCCCGTTCAATGAAGGTCACAAGGCCTTCTGCCACATATGTTACCCTTAGCTATCCCCAATCCTTAAAATGCCCTCGGGCAGTGGAAGGAATTTGTTACATGTATATATTGTATTGTTATGTATACTATATATGTAAATTGTTTTAATAAACATTTTGGACGGTAAGAAAAGAAAAAAAAATACATTTGTAGATTGCATATTTAATAATTCGTAATTTAAAAATAATTAAAAACAATGCATACTGAATATGTATATCGCTACTTTTAGTGCAAATGACGTATGTAAAAATTGAGTGTTCCACAGGAGAGCATAAAAACTAATTATTTCTTTATGATTTATGAGTATAATTTTAGATTTTATTGTCCTCTGATATTTTTCAAAGTAGTAGACTACTTATATCAATTGCGAACTAGATTATTTCAAAAATACAATAAAAATTGAAAACTTTTACATGCGACCTTTGCACTAACACTACTGATATATACTTAATATGTATGTTTCCTCTCGTAAACCGGATGGAACAAAAAATCCATAGGAAAAATTTAACTTTTTGTTTGTTCGGAGTTAACTAGACCAATACTTTCCTTCAGTCAAAACAAAACTAATTAAGCTGGAATATAAAAATATGAGTGAAGTTCACATAACTTTGATATTTAAGGAGGAAATCGAGATCAAGACGAACTCACACGATCATAAATAAGACGTTGTTTTTTCTACAAACTCGAGAGTATAAATTACTTTAAATTTATTGAACATTACACGAAATCGAAGTAAAGTCAGTGTTAGGCCAGTAACGTTTGGAATGGACTAAACAATACAGTACAAATTAACTTTTTGGTCTAATAAAATCTAAAATTTTGTAACAACACAACAATATTGTAATAATCTAACTCTCACTCTATGACTATTACCTTCCATATTTCAGAGCCATTACAATGTTAACAATTATTTATTTATTTATGACCTTAATGTTCCTTATGTATCAGATTTGGCCCAATCCAGATATCTGTCCTTCCATAATAAACTTCATAACCATCCCAACCCTCTTGTCTCTAATCTTGCTTCCTATTCGATTCCTGATAACCCTCCGAGGCGTCTGAAAAGAAGATGGTCACGTGATCTTCTAATATAGACATATTATTAGAGTGCTACCAATGGGTAGTTTCTCAACATGTGTTCCATGTCTTTATACCAATGTGCGAATTTACCAGATGTATTTTTTGTATTCAGTTGTAAATATCATTTAAAATAAATAATAAAAATTTATTTATTTATTTACAATAATGGCGGGGCTCCTCAACCTCTTACGGGTCATTTTAGCCCTTACAAAATATTTATTTTACATCAGATGAAATTAAATTTAACAATAAATTGAAAGCATAAAATATTTAAAATAAAAAAAAGAGTCAGCAAATTTTAAATGTAAAGACTGTAAAGACTTTTTTTTTGCCAATTTGGTAGTATTTTTTAGAATTTCAGTTATATCGTTCTCCAATTCAACTTTATTTCGTTGTTTTTCATATCCATAACATTCAGTCAAAATGTGCCTGAATGTTAAGTTGACCCCGCAGCAGAGACACTGAGGGGGCGTCCCCTTTCTCATCAGGTGCTCATGGCTTAACAATTATTTATATTAATTTTAATTATTAAATGGAATTAAATGAAATTTATACTTTACTGTTCACCAAATTTCCTCCAAGTTTGGATCAAATCGAATGCGCCATTTTCAAACTAACAACACATTTCCTGACTTGAAAGCGGAAGTGTTTTTATTTGGAATATCAGATAGAATTTGATGAAATTGATGCCTATTTCATTTTTACATTAATGTGAACGTAAAAGTAGTTCAAAACATTTTAGATAAAAATGAAAATTTGCTTTTTACAAAGTAGAATCACGAGATTTATAGCTTGTTGGATGTATTTGTTGTTTCAATAGGAGGTGATGGTTTTTGTTATAGCATATTCCAAACATATAGGTTGAAATGGCTCACAAAACAAGATAAAAAACAATGGCATGAATAAGTGTCTCAATTCTAGAATAGAAAAATGGTTATTATTAAGTTTTTTTGTTTTTTTTATTGATGATATTTACAACTGTATTACAAATAAAAATACATTCAGTAAATGTGAACATTCAGTAAAAGAATATAATAACATGAAACCACTTGTTGAGAAACTACCCACTGGTAGCACTCTAAAAATGTATTTACAAAATGAGATCTCGAGGCCATCTTCTCGGAGGGTTGTCAGGGATCGAAGAGGAAGCAAGGTCCGAAACGAGAGGGTTTCGATGGTTCTGAAGTTTGTTATGGAAGAATAGATATCTGGATTGGGCCAGGTCAGAAACATAGGGAACATTAAAGTCGTTATGGATGATTTTATTTGTGACAAAGTAAGAAGCAGTAAGGATTTTATGAAAGATTTTGGATTGAAAGGATTGGATACGAGAGGAATTCGATGGCTTTGTGGAGCCCCAGAGCTCAACTCCGTAAGTCCAAATAGGTCTTATTGTAGTCATGTATATGAGTCTTTTGTAATTGACTGGGAGTTTAGAGTACTTTACTCCCGTGAAGTACATTCCGCGCTCCAATGCAGAGGAGACAACATCCACCATACGATGGCATTACTGAATAGTGGAATGGGAACTGCGGAATCCAAATTGATGATCTGGGATAATGTGATTGGAATCTAGGATGGGGTACAGGCGTTTTAGGATGAGCTTTTCCAGAATTTTGCCCAGGATGGGTAATGGGAGATAAGGTGATAGTAGAATGGGTTTTCTGTTGGCTTTTTGGGTTTATGTATCATTTTGATAATAGATAATTTCCAAGGATCAGGAAAATATGTGGATCGCAGTACAGCATTATATAAGTAAGGAATAGAATGGCTTTCCGAGGAAGCAGTTTTAGGATCTTGAATATAAATAGGTCGTATCCAGGAGCTTTTCGGGAAGGTAACCTTTGAATGATGTTGGATGTTGGATATTTCTGAAGCATGAAAGGCTTTAGGTGGAAGAGACATTTGGAGTGGGATATCCAGTTTTGCTTCAATACACCCAAGGCGATTTGGGTTAAGAATATCGGGGTGTGGATAAAGGTTTTAAAGAGGTGATGAGCAATGATTTGTGATTTTTCTTCATCGGATTTGGACCAGGTTTGAGCTTCAGTAAGAAGTGGATGATTACAGTATTTAAATTTCAGGAGCCTTTTAGTGGCCGTCCATAAAGATTTGTCGGTAGGTGTATATGATTCTTGTCTGTTAGTCAGTTGGGTGTAATGAGTTTTATCTGTTGGATATCTGGTTCTATGCCACTTAGATCTAGCTCTGCTTTTTTCCTTCAATGAGATACGAATATGCTGTGGAAATTTGGTCTTTTGTAAATTTTAATCTTACTGATAAAGGTGTTATTATTTATACTGACTGTTATTGATGTTGTAAGTTTTTCAATAGCACCATTAATGTCCTCTTTTGTCTTTAGCGGAATTTTAAAGTCTAGTTTGTTTTCCAAATCATCACGAAATTTGTCTCAGTTTACTCGTAATGTATTCAATTTAGGATATGATGGTTTAGGAGCATCGCTTGAATGTAGTGAAAGTAGAACTGGACTATGGTCTGAAAAAAAGTCATCAAGGGATTTGATTATGGTTTGTGAGGAGGAGATCTGGAAAATGATAAATATATCTAGGATATCGGGACGTTTTTTGAGGGATGTTGGCCAATAAGTAGGACTCATGGGCGAAAGAATTGAATAATTGTTGGAAGATGAGACACGTGAAAGGATGTCACCGCGGGAGTTGGATGTTCGACAACCCCATCGTTGGTGTTTAGCATTGTAGTCTCCTCCAGCAATGAAGCGCGATCCGAGGGATTGGAATAAGGAATCAAGGAGGTTATAGGAGAGGGAATTATCAGGCGGACAGTACACAGCATTATTAACTTAAATTTATTTATCAGGATGAGGAGTATGAAAAAGAACGAAAAGTCGCACAATTTCAAAGGGAACTTGAAGAAGTGCTGAGCTATGAATTTCCAGAAAATGTTAATGAAGAAGAAGGAATGCAGGTATTATTATACGAGAATATGCTGAAGGAACTGGAAAAAGAAGATAAGGAAATTGATGTAATGCTCACAGAACTTGATAAGAGCGAAAAGACGTAAGTTCATTATAGATTTAAATCCTAGCAGTTGCATATAAAGCTAAATATGAATGAATTAATGATTTATTTTAATTCCTCGTTTTAACTATATTTAGGAATTTATAAAGCTATACTAAATATTTAATTTATTTTTAATAATTGATTATTGGAATTATCCATACAGTGGTGTCACAAAAAATAATGTAGATAGGTATTTAATAATAATAATAATAATAATAACAAGTATTGAAAAATGCTTGTTAACAACTTGGTGATTGCAAAAAATTTTTTTTGAACATATTGAGAAATTTGGTTATGAAAAATCTCTTCAAAATTCAAAAAAGTTTTGTGAGAACTACTCATTTACAATCTAAGTAATAATGAATTGAAGGAAAAATTAATCGATACATAAAATTGAAATACATTTACGATCACATACATCAATACTCATAATAATATGCACAATAGTTTCAAGATTTTCATTTTGACAATTTTTTCTTTGTGATGTTTATCTTCTGATATATAATGTTAGACTTATTCAATAATGTTAGACTTATTTCTGAATGTTAAATATTTATGTGATACCAAAATATGCTTTTCCAATTTTGTTTCGGAGTTCTTAATACTTTGAAAAACGAAACTATTTTGCGTTGCGATATCAAACATATAGATAAAAAATAATAATTTTCCCTAAAGTTGCCTTTAATGCTGCAAGGAATTAAACAAACTATATGTAGAGATATATTTATATACACTGACAGGTAAAAAATTCCACCCACTTGATTTTTTCATGTTTTAATCTTATAATATTTCTGCTTTGGATTGGTCTATTGTTTTTAATGAATAAATAGGTAATCTTTTTGTTTGTTTTCAATTAGGAATGTTAATATAGAGGACAATGACTCTTAATCCTTAATTCAATGAAATGATTCTAAATTTCAATGTTTACTTTTTAAAGAATCAAAATGTTTATTCAGTATCATTAGTTCAGTGCCGTTTCTTGCAGCACATTTCTTAGTCTCCGGCTTTTAATTTTTTCAATATTAAGTTTAAAAATGCCTCTTAGTGCTGAGGCACTTATTGATGATTAGTGTTGCCCAACGCAAGACCAAGACCAAGACCGCCTCGGTATCGTCTTGGTCTTGCGTCAACGAACCTTGGTCTTGGTCTTGGTCTTGCGCACTTAGTCTTGGTCTTGCGCAAGAGTCTTGCAGTTAACTATCAGCTTATTGCTATTTATTAATATGGTATTTTAAATTTTAGAAAAACGCTACAAAATAACTACAATTAGATGTTTTATAGATATAAACATTGTAAAGTACAACTAAATCAATAAAATTAAGAATAAAGAAAGATAGTGATAACCCTCCTCCATCCCTCCGATTATATTGAATGAAAGAGTTGTAGAGTAAAGACAATTTATATATTGTTCCCAATAATTTTAATTAAAAATCTATTGTGTCCACTTAAAAGGCTTTCCTATATATTTTAAAAAAATAGAACTTTAAATGTATCCATTAGATAAAAATATTAGATATTAAAACATTAGATAAAGAAAAAAAAATTGAAATAGATTCATTTTCCTAAAAACCGATCCGTGAAATCATTTCGAACAATTATACTCGGGGTGGACCTTTGGGCTAGTATTAATAACCATTCAGTCTTAATTTTTATTCATGTTTTGTTTTCTTATCTTGCTCCGGTCCTGGCAAATGATTAATTTTTAGGGGCGGGGTGTCCGAGCTGACTAACGATTGTGCACAGCACTGCTCGTTACCCGGCAACCTGATAACCGAAGTTGGTGACAATAAAATAATTATGAGTTCGCGTCCCGTTGCCCGGGGGTCTTTTAACTCTGTCATAAATCCCCCGCCCTCATCCATGGCCCGCGAAAACGCCCATATAACCTAAAAGGGGAGGTAGGGGGAGAACAAGAAAAAATATTAATTTTTTATTATTATTTGGAAAGCTAAACTTAAATATACAATTCCACAAGAAAAAACAACGCTGTTTAGATTAGATGGTTATAAATGTTCAAGCACTGTACTATATCTGAAAATAGTTTCAGTTCGACTTAACTGCAAGACTAGCAGGTTTTGGTCTTGGTCTTGCGCAAGACTACATGTTCTGGTCTTGGTCTTGGTTTTGCAAAAAACTTTGTGGTCAGTTTTGCAAGACCAAGACCAATTTTGGGCAACACTATTGATGATTAACGTTCCATTAGATATGCAGCTAATGCCATTGGAGTTCCATATGAAACTTTACGAGACGCCGTCAGGCGTTTTCGGGAAACTGGTTCTTACTATAGAGGGCCCAGTTCTGGATGGCCTAGGGTAAGAGAACCACGGGATGACCGGTTTTTGACTTTGGAATTTTACGAAACCGGCACCTTACCGTTGTTCAAGCGATTCATCAGCACGAAGAAGTTCGAGGTGTGCAAATTTCTGAACGTACCGCTCGGAGAAGATTAAATGAGTATGGATTAATGGCTTTTCGTCCAGTAAGCCATTAATCTTTTGCTCGAGAACACAGCCATTGGACTATGGACGAATGGAGTGCTGTACTTTTTACAGATGAGTCAAGATTCGCTCTTCGATCTCCAGACTGGCGTGAAAGGGTGTGGAGAAGAAAGATATGCAGCCTCTAATTTTTCCCAGAGCCAATCTTTCCAACGTGGTTCCTTAATGGTGTGGGCTGGGATTTCAATGGAGCGCCGCACAGAATTAGTTGTTGTTCGTGGAGGATCTTTGACGGCCATTCGCTATGTAGATGAGATTTTGGAACCTCATGTGTTGCCTGTCCTCAACAAAATCGGCGATCGTTCGCTTGAACAACGGTAAGATGCCGGTTTCGTAAAATTCTCAAAGTCAAAAACCGGTCATCTCATGGTTCTGTTACTCTAGGCCGTCCAGAACCGGACCTTCTATTGTAAGAACCAGTTTCCCGAAAACGCCTGACGGCGTCTCGTAAAGTTTCATATGAAATTCCGATGGCATTAGCTGCATATCTCATGGAACGTCCATTATAAATAAGTGCCACACCACGCGCAACATCCTCAGCACTAAGAGGCATTTTTAAACTTAATATTGAAAAAATTAAAAGTCGGAGACTAAGAAATGTGCTGCAAGAAACGACACTGATCTAATGATACTGAATAAACATTTTGATTCCATAGAAAGTAAACATTGGAATCTAGAATCATTTCATTGAATTAAGGATTAAGGGTTATTGTCCTCTATATTAACATTCCTAATTGAAAACAAACAAAAAGAATACCTATTAATCCATTAAAAACAATAGACAAATCCAAAGCCGAAATATTTTTAGATGAAAACATGAAAAAATTAAATGGGTGGAATTTTTTGTCTGTCAGTGTATTTTTGAACTATATTTTGGTCATTGCTATTAACTGATTACAACTTTTACATTATTTCCTCGCAGGGCTCCTTTAAAACGCGAATAATTGTATCAATAGATCTCTTTGTTGTTTGTTCTTATTTGTTGTCTGTTGTTTCACTGTTGTTAGATTGCATTAGTGCACATTGAAATTAAGCTATTTAGATGATCAGAGAAGTGTGTTGTAGCGCTGATTTTATTGTTTTTTTTTTTTTTTTTTTAATAAAATACATTTAATTTATGAATAAGGAATTTGAAAGTGTCTGTCTGTTTGTGAGTATGATTTTAATTGAATATTAAGGTATGAATAAATAATAAATTGATATCTCTTATTGCTTATCTGTTAGAATTCACATTATTGAAAGAACGTTAGGCCCATTGATAACACATTACGAAAAAGAAATATCTGCCTTCCGCAAAGTTGGAGCCGATAGTTTCGCAGACTTCGAGGGAGAAGAGGAAGAAGAGGATGTCGAGGATGAATACAAGAGTAGGGCTGCTGAGATGGCCAAGGAGATTTTGGAAGCAAATGATATCGAGTCGGTTGGATCTTTGGGCAAGGAATCATCAGGGGATGATTTGAGCAACATGCTCTCCCAGATGGCTCTTGACCTGAAGGATTCAGAACCGGAAGTGGAAAAGGAAGAACAGCCGGGCTCGAAAAAGGTAATAAAAAGCTCTGTTTAGTAGAAGGTTGAAGGTTCCCATGTGAGGTAGTGATTATTGGTTAGTTGGACAACCATGTGGCATTGATGGTTTCTCATACCTGATTAATTTAAAAATTAATAAACATATAAGTAATAAAGTAATACAAATGCTTAATGAACGGTAATTTCGATGTCGATAACATTGATATTCTTGGCCTAAATAAATCTCTCCACTAAGCCTCAACACTCAAAACATCAATGTCAGATCTAATAACACCATTCCACAAAAACAAAAATAAAAACATCGATATTCTAGAATGCTTTTTCGAGGTAATGATTACTCTTGTCTCATCATAACTTGTCTCATCATTTATTTAAATATTACTATATATTTTTTTTTATTGTAATATAACAATATGGACATTGGTTATAGTGATGAAAGAGTACATTCACACTGTATTTATAGGAAATATAAACAAATAAAAGAAAACAGAACTATAATTAAACCAGTACCAAGAACCAATTAAATAATAATCAAAAGTATATAAAACGAATAAACATAATATAAACTTAAAGATAAAAAAAGTAAAATAACACAGACACAACTATATACCCGCTTGTGCCTCCCCTATAAAGGGAAAAGTTGAACTCCAGCAGAGCTCTGCGCTACTCACTCAAACGCGTCACTGGTATTAAATATATTATATTATTAAATGCAGAAAGATAAATCATTGTATTAATTCTATTTTATTGTTGGACTACGAGAAAAGTTATGTATTAGTAAAAGATGATTAAGTAAGAGAAAGGAATATGAAGATGTTCATACATGTTTTTTTACAAGTTTTAAATTTCACTGAAGTCTCAACAACAGTTTTTGTCATTCAAATTTAGTTATGACATAAAAAATCATTAATGACCATACCGTTATAACGTATATATTCATTTTTATTTGTACATAAATAGCCAATCTGGTTCAAAACGTGGTTTTAATTATATACAGTTTTAAAGTGAAAAGGTAGTTATTTATACGAAAAAACGCTATAGTATATTATTCTAAGAAAGAACTATTAAAAAATAGAACTGCAATTTATGATAAAACATAGAGAAATTGTAACATGTTTTTTATTTATATTTCAAATCTAAGGCCGCATTTGTTACATCTGCAATGTTTTATTGAAGGAATCTAGTCGACTGTTCGACATATCATGAGTGATAAATATTCAGGTGGCAGTCATTATAAAATTTTTTTATTTGTGCCGACGTTTCAACCCAAAACATGTGGGTCATCATCAGGGCGTGGTTCAAGCACTGAAGATGCTCAGATGACACACATGTTTTGGGTTGAAACATCGGCACAAATAAAAAATGTTTATAATAATTACCTCCTGAATATTTATCACCCATGCAATGTTTTATATATATATATATATATACATCGCTACAAATTATGTTATAAATTCTATTACTCTTCATGACTCATTAAAGTAACATTTCTTTAAGATATTTAAAACCACTCACATTTGATTAAAACATTGATGGTCAATTCACAGATGTAGAAAAAGATTTGCTTAGTGTGCACTAACGTTTTGAGTGAACGTTCAAAATGTGAACAAATAAACCAATATACAAAGAACAAATCAGAATGAATAAATAATTGGAGGATACGATAAAATAAAAGGAAGATGAGAATATTCAAGGAGTAGGACGTTCCACACAGGTGGACAGAGGAAATATAATTGTCAAGCCTTTTAAAAGGTTTTTATTTCGAAGAAAGTGTGTTTTTTTCCACTCAAAATCGCATTTTAAATTATAAACAAAGTTTTATGCTGAAATAAAGTACAATCTGACTTCTTAATTATGTCTCTTAATTTTTGGAAATTGTCAGTTGCATCAACTTTCCAAAAAGAAAAGTTATAAAGATTCAACTTCAAGATTATTTGTCCCAGATTGATATAGTATAACAATATTTGGAATAATGAAAACTTTAATTTTGATAAACAACGACAGTAAAAAGAACTAGATAACTAGGTGTCTGTAATCAGTTTATTAAAAAGAATTCTTTTAAAAATGAAAAATGAAAATTAAAATTTTTATTCTTTAACAAAAATCTACAAAACTTTGTTTTTCAACAAATGAAAAATGAGTAACAATAAAAATACTGAAAAAAAATGAAATGGCTTTTCAACAAATGAAAAATGAATAACAGTAAAAATACTAAAAAAAATGAAATGGCTTTTCAACAAATGAAAAATGAGTAAAAATAAAAATACTGAAAAAATGAAATGGCATAATCTATCTCGTGTGCTTATTTTTTAAAAATTATTGGAGATGAACCGAAAACTTTGAAAGGCTATAAAAATAAATGTTAGAAAGCAAAAAAAATGTTATTTTTAATCTTAGAAACTTAATAATTTGATCAGTAAAATTTCTTCGTGGCCTTCTCTAGAGCTTCTGACTCCAATACTATTTTATTTTATAAGAAAATATTATTTATTTAAAGATAATTATGAGGCCCTGATTCTGTTCTCAGAATTAATTAATATGATTATTTTTTAATACATTTTTTTTTAATTCTGGAAAAAGAATGTCCTCGATTTTCGCCTTATTGATCTTATAATCTTTTAAACGCCTTATAATACTTATTGAAAACATCGTAAATAATTTGATTAATTGAGGCGTTGCACATGGAAAAGGCAGTGAGCAAAAACAACAAAACATTTTTTAAATTGTTCATAGAAAAGTTAGTAATTAGTTATGCCAATAGTTTTGAAAGAGGACTGAGTCAAAATTGGGAACCGTTTAGTTTGCATGAACAGTTATTTTATTTATTGGGTAATACAATATTCTGTCAATTGTAAGATAATTACAGTGAGATAAGACTACATCCACACTATATATACACAAATTGTAAAAGAACAGAAGCGGAAAACTAGGGAATAATAATCAAAAAGATTAAGTTAAATGAAATATTTTTCTTCTCCAGTAAAATAACCTTTTCATTCAACAGACTACTTTTTCCATGTCAACGCCTTAATTATGTAATGAAAATAGATCGTTTAATTTCTTTAAATATTCTAATGTTTTCCAGGCTCAGGTGGGCAAGAGAAGAAAAACAGTACAATCACGACGAGCCTCAAAACCAAAAATAGAAACAAAGAAAAAAAAGAAGTAGTATACCATATTATGACACAATGAATAAAAGTAATGTCAGTGGATTATAGTTCCGTTTTAGCAATTGATGCGATCTTAAAAAATTAATATCAATATATGGGCACAATTGCCCATCCTCTACCAAGAAATTGTGTGGATCTTCATTTTATTTTTATTTTGTAGATTTTACGTAATTAACTTAAACTATATTTAGTAACAGTCCAATATTTATTTTTAAAAATAATTATTGATTATTGTAACTGCCTGAAGATGGAGTTGAGAATGCTATATACACTTATCTACAGCGGGAATCATATATATATAAAACAAAATTAATATAGGTTTTTTTTCAAAACATTTCTAAATAAAAATAAATAATCTACTACCCACTATATAATATCTCTAGATGCCTTTCTCGTTGTAATTCATTGGGAAAATTGGGAAGAGATGCTAAAAATTCCTTTAGCCACACATTAAAAATAAAAAAATGGACGTTGTAATAACATACATGAACGGCAGAAGTCTATCATATTTTCGCTTTATTTTTCTTATTTCTTAGAAAAAGATAAAAGTTACTTAATTGCTTTATTTATAGTTACCATCGGATAATAACTATTTTTTTAAATTAATTACTAACTTAATTTCTTCGTTGTGTTGTTCTATAGTTCAGTTTAGAATTTGATCTATCGGGGGTAAAAGAAAAGTTATGAACCCTAAAATACACTTATCTAACACAAAATAAAATTTGCATAAATATTTTTAACTATCCAACGCAATTAGGAGGGGCTGATGGAATCCGCAAAACCATAAAATCGTTAGAATATAAAAAAACAAATAGCCCCCCGCTATAGGGAGGCGAGGAGCTTCGACATTTAAAAACCACGTGTCAAAGATCGGATCGATTTGCGTAAAAAAATACAACTCACTGACTTATTTAACAGGCGTGGCAGGGATGTAAAAAAACTCTTAATATGAGAAAATACGAAGACGAAGTGACGGTTGTTCAGACTCACAAAAAACATTCCTTCAACATCAAATAATTACGAACGAAATTTCAACTATTTAAAATTGTTTGGAGAGGATATAAAGGAGCGTAAAAGGTTTAAAAAGGGGGAAAAATGTCGACTATTTTCGTGAATTTACTCAAACTTTCATAGTATTGTAGAAAAACAATCATAAATACGGAATTTCAGCACCAAATTGGAAAGCTGCAAGTTCTGTTATTCACAGAGGGAAGGGGATATGTATATATATCCATCTTCAGATTCTCCATAATCGTGATATATGAGTTCTGAAACTGATACAAAATGCATGTCCAAAACTCATCTTATGACCTTCGATAAATCACAAAAGCTTAATATTTTCAGAATAAATTGACATATCTCATTTCTCCCGGCTCATAAGGAAGATTACTAAATTGTCTAAATAAACCAAGACACAAAAAAAACAAAAAAAAAAACACAAAGACTCCTTGTTTGAACTTACAGCTTTTTACTCAAGGCTAAAGAGAAGAAATAAAACATTATTTTTTTCATTTTGCGAGATTAGAGAATGCGCCAGGACAAGATCGAACAGAAAAGCTCAAAACTTCATTTTTAATTGAAATTGTCCTTAGAAGATTTTGCAGAGTGGCTATCGTCGATTTATTATTTATAACAAACTAAAGACTGACAACCAATATGCTTAGCGTTCTGTACTTAGTACTCTGTTTTTTCTCCCGAATTTTCAATGTACAGTTATTAGATATATTTATAATAGTAGGAATTCATCATTATCCACAGGTCCTCTATCTCCATCCACCAGTAAGCATTTGTGGTTGCTGCTTAAAAAGTCTGAACTAGACGTCTCTCTCCCTAAAGAATTCTCTTCTCCTGCTCCAATCTATTCCTCACGTCCAGAACGCCTACCGTATATTGTTCTTTCAGAAGATGCGCGGTCTTCCTCTAGGTCTCCTTCACTCCACATGGTTCTCATGTCCCTTACTAATATGAATAATAGCGGAATTAAACTACAACCTTCGTGAATACAAATGTCATCTAGAATTCTAGTGATATGTGGTTCACGGTCCTGAACATATTTCTGGTATTTTTACAGATATATTATATATAATATATTACTGGTACTTATTACAGCCATAGTCGTCACTTTATCGATGCTTTAATCAGGCAGAGCCCCTTTCTCATGTCTTCCTTTCTCACTCTGTCGAGAAATCCTTTTGAAGGTCTACGAGACAGACAGAAATCTCCTCAGGAATGCTTCATTGTCCTCTGAAATCATAATCTTCTTCTCCGAGTCGACTATCTATTACCTATCTCATTCTTACCTTAAGTAACCTTGAATAAATCTTGCTAGCCACAGTGAGAAGTAATATTCCATGATGATTACCCCACTATCCATTGTCTTCCTTCTCATGAATAGGCAGGATCAGTGCAAGTCCTTTAGAATTCAAAGAAAAAAAGTAGCAATTAAAAAATAAACAATTGTTTTCTTCAAGAACCTAAGAAAGATGAAACGAATCTAGCAATACCTATTTAGATAAATAAGTCTTGGAAACTTTAAGAAAATTTACAGTTGTTGGCTATGTATTGAATCATGTTTCGCATGATTAAGAAGGTATTAGTTTGTTGAAAGAAGACTATTGATGTTTGGAAACATCTGTATCACGCCAAAGATGTTTTGCCATAATATTTGCATAAAAGAACTTCTTAAAGAAACTGGTCTATCGATTTCACATGTTATGAAGAAAAAGAGGTTAAGATAAGGTGTTGCATATAGCTCAAAAATCTATCAGGATTTCCACTACACAACAATGAATGCTTCAATAGTAGGTAAGAGATCAGGTGGAAGGCCAAACACCAGATAGACTGATCGAATCAACAAAAATGCAATGGAGCTGAATGCAGATAACTGGAAAGAGATAACCCAATATAGTCAGAGATGGAGAAAGCTGATTAAGGAGTTAGAAATATAATGACAACGAAAAAAAAAAAAAGTTTCAACCTAATTTTTAAGCATACCATATATCTTACATTTCTTTAAAGAACAATAAAATAGCTAATAGTCTAATTTTGAAGTAATGGGCCATTTAAGAAGTATACGGTCGTTATGCCGAAAAATGCAGGATGATTTAAAGAGTATTTTATTTTTAACAAATGAAGCTCATTATTATGATGATCTTAAAAATTATTAATTAGGTCATAAAACATATACTTTAATATGTAGCAATAAATCTTAGAACTGCATTACCTGAGATTTCAATTCGGATTCCAATGTACGTGTTGAACCAAGCTCAGCAACCTCCCTCAACCCTTCTGAAGCTGTACCGCCATACACCCAAAATCTAGAAAAAGGTTTAGAAAGGTTAGATAACAGACAAATTTGAGGGAATCAGTTGAGATTGTGGAATTAGAGGTTTTGTTCCGTGGACGAACAAGGGCAGTTTTCCAGGTGCTGTGAAAAGTGGAACTTCGTAGTGGAAAGTTATAAAAATGAAAAAGAATTGGGAGAATAGATGGAACTGAGGATTTAATTAATTTAACTGGGATATTATCTGATCCGAAATCATTGGTTTGGGATTTGAGGATTAATATGAGAAAAGGAAAAATTATTGGGATAAAATGAGGAATAAATGAGGGGTGGATCTGGTGCTTGGAAAAAGTAATAGGATGAACAGGAGGCAAAATGAGTGTTGAGTACGTCAGCTGAAATAGAGGTAGTCTGGGTTTGGGTGGGTTTGCTTAAGGATAATTTACGGTAGATTGCTCATATGGCTTTGGGGTTTGGAGTGATGGATAAGGATTATTGGAAGTAATGGGATTTGGCACGGCGTATCAAGGATTGCGTGCTGTTCCGAAGCAGATCGACGTTCGTATAGGCTTCGGAAAGTCGAATGTTTTTAAACCTTCGTCTAGCCGCATCTCTTCGTTCAATACAATTTTTTATCGCTGGCGTCAACCAAGGGGCTGGGGGATACTTGATTGCCCTAACTTTAAATTAATGTGCAGATGATTGGTTAAATTTTCTACAATAAAATCGATGGAGTTAAAGGAGTATATAGAGTCCCATTGGATTGTGTCAAGATCAGATGACAGAGTATCGGGTGATAGGAAATTAAGGTTTCTACAAGATATAGACCAGGAACAGGAAAATATCATGTTTCGAAAACGGCTGCTCCCGTCGGTTTTATTTTCAAAGAACAAAAAATCTTTAAATATATGTAATCATGTACTCAGTAGAAGTAGCGAGAAAGCTATGAGTATAAGCTACTTGGTAGTTTTTTTTTAGTAATATTATGATATATCTGCTATTACAGTAACCAAACAAATATATTCTATATATATATATATATATATATATATATATATATATATATATATATATATATATATATATATATATATATATAAGGTACTGATTATTATGTACTGATTAAAAGTGAATACCTAAACATGGAATTACGCCTTAGGATATAACTAATTTTTTCTTGAAAGTACTAATAACATAATACAAATTCGTACTTTTTATCAAAGTAAACAAGAAAATATTTTATAATGCTTTTGTGAAATGGTTTTATTTATGATGCCAGATAATTGTCAGTTTGGTCACAAAACTTTTATGAATTTAAAAATTTAAGAATCGACCAGTAGAAATTCATTTGTTGAATACAGTAATGAGGTTTATATAAACGAATACTATTCATATAGTGTTTTTTTTCCCTCTTCAGAGGATCGGTTCGAGTTAACAAACACCCCTCCTCTAAAAGTTTTCCAGTCCATTTGTTGAGGCATCACCCTTAACTCATTACTCACAGTGGTCCGAGCTACGAGTTCTGTCACTTGCCTCATTATTCTGGTTGGTATTGAACAATCAATGGGTTTTCATCTCTTTCAAAGTGAGGAACTGAAAGCCATGAGTAAACTAGGAAGTGAAAACCACGAAAACCATTCTGGCTGAATGCCCCAACTTTTCAAAGCATTCCTTAAGAGAATATAAACTTCAATAAGAGTAAAAAGGACTTCGACTCGGGTTCATTTGACTATAATTTCTATATTTCAAAAAATTTTCTTTGAATTTATATGGTGATCTATTTATTAAATGAACTCACTTATCTTGAAAGTGAACCTTAATAATATTCTATAGAAATTGAGATAAGTGCCGATTCCCTTGTAAAAACGCCCAATAAATCTGATAGTGTAACTTTTTTAAAAATTGATATAAAAAAGGGAAAATGATACAAAAAACAGTAGTGTGAAATATGTTTGTTTCCGAAACTGTCTTTTTTTCAAGGAATTTAATAAAAACTTCCTTAGAATTAAAAAAAAAAATAGTCATCAACAACATTTTTAACTGTTTGATTCATAGAAGAATAAAAAATTAGTTAATTTTATTGTGCCATCATTGTAATCTTTCTCTTCAAAACAAATACATTTTAACAATAGTCTTGAAGTTAATGTTTTCTAAAAGTTCCGTAATGAAGTTTCAAAATTTTTACGACTACAATAATTAGTAATTTTCGGAAATATGTTCTACAAACAATGAGTTTCTCAATTTATTGTTGAAAAAAACATTAATTTTTATTTTACAGTTGGAATAGAAGAATATTTTTCTTAAGAAACTGTCCCCATTGGGGAAAAAATATCTTCTTTCTATTTTTAATATAATTTGGTCCCAAAATATTTTCCCAACGCAATGGCGAAAATCTATAGTAATTCCAATACTAAAACCAAATAAAAATAAACAACACTCTCAAAGCTATAGGCCAATATCCTTGACGTGTACAATGTGTAAACTGATGTAATCAACCATCGATAAAAGGCTCATATGGTATCTTGAACACAAGAAATACTTTCATAAAAATCAAGCAGGTTTTCGGCGTAATTATTCGACAAAAGATCACCTGGTTAATATTACAAATGAAATATTTTCAGCGTTCGCAGAAAACATGAACCTGATTGGAATCAGTCTAAACATAGAAAAAGCATACGATATGGTTTATCGACCACGTATAATTGACAAACTTTACCATAATGGAGTAAGAGGAAATATGCTAAATTTCATTAGAAATTTCCTCAGCAATAGGGCGATGAAAGTAAAGGTAAACGAAGTCTCCTCCGACGAAGTTGAACAAGAAAATGGGGTACCTTAAGGCTCTGTAATCAGCGTATCTCTGTTTCCCATAGCTATAAATGATATAGCCGACCGAATTAGTCTTCCAGTAAAAAGTTTCCTCTATGTTGACGATTTGTTGCTTTGTTGCAAAGGGAAAGATCTTAATCTTACATGACAGATAATGCAGTCTGCTATATTCCAACTAGAAGAATGGGGGAGGGAAACCGGTTTCAGATTTTCTGCTACAAAATCACAGGGTATCGTTTTCTCAAGGAAAAAGAAATTAGAGAACGTAAGAAATATTTCAATAAACAGTTCCGAAATCGCATTTTACAAAGAAATCAAAATTTTAGGTCTTATACTAGATCTAAACTAAAATGGAAATATCAAATAGAAAAATTAAAACAGGAATGTAATAAAAGACTGAACCTCCTAAAAATCCTTTCTCATCAAAACTGGGGAGCAGACAGGAACACCATGCTAACTACATACAGATCCCTTATAAGGTCAAAACTAGATTATGGAAGCATCATATATTCTTCAGCTTGCAAAAGCCTCCTAAATAAGCTAGACTCAATTCAGAACACTGCACTGAGACTTTCAATTGGAGCATTCAGAACAAGCCCAGCAACTGCCTTACTGAGTGAAACAGGAGAATTGCCCTTGGACCATAGAAGAAAACTTCTCGTTCTTCGTTATGCAGCAAAAATTCAGAGTATGCCAGAGCACAATAATTTTGATATTCTGTATAAAGGTGATTTAAAAGTTCCTAATGGTTCAGAAATACTTCAAAGTCGAATTGAGAAATACTCCACTGAGTATGAAATTACAACACATATAAATATTATACCTCAGAAAATAGGAGATACC